CCTATGACCCAGCAATCCCACTTTTGGGCATTTACCCAAATGTTTACAAACAAGACCACACTAAAGCTACCAGCACGACTATGTTAATTGCAGCATTATTTACCATAGCTAGGATATGGAACCAACCCAGATGCCCCTCAATAAATGAATGGATCAAGAAAATGTGGTATATATACACAATGGAATACTATGTCCCTTTCTGTAATTTTATCTCTTACTAAACTAAATACGTAAATTAAAAGTACCCAATCAAATTATTTCTAAATTATGTCTCTTTTTTCAATATTTACAGGCTTTAACTTCCATCTTAAGAGACTGACAGCTTACTTGTAATTTTTTCCGAATAATCAAGTTCAAGGAGATGGATCATTTAAAGGACTGGCCACTGGCATAGATGAATTCCAGATGTGGCTCTGCATATCGATTAAGAGAGGGATAGAAAATTAGTCACTGCTGGGAAGTTGGCTCAGTGGTAGAGTGCTTGCCTTGCATGCATGAGGCCCTGGGTTCAATTCCTCAGCACCACATAAGCAAAAACACACACACACACACAAAATGTCACAATTTTAAGGAAATTTTACATGTAATACTAGCTTACATTGACTCTCCATGCTAATATTGGATCAAGAAAGTTCTAAGGCCTACTCCTAGAAATTGGCAAATAATGGCAGGTTAATCATTAAATATACCAATAACTTTAATATATCTGTGTACTTAACTATGCATCTACCTATTTATCTATAAAGAAAGGCCTACTGAAAGAGAAATACAAGTGAAAAATACATTAAGTGGTCAAACCAAAAAGATTAAATTTAAATTCCCATTTGAACTTATAGTGTGGGAAAAAACCCTCACAACAACCTTTAGGAGGTAGAGAACCTTGAACTAACAATTACATCAGGGAAGAAAATTGGCTAAATTTAATCTGAAAAGGTCTACAAATATAAAAAAACAAAACAAACCATATATTTTTCCTCCAGGCTTAGAGATTTTTCTTTTTCAGTTGTTCGGCTCTTCTTTTCTGCTTTCTCTTTGCAATTTTCTTTAGGATAAAGTAAAATGCCACAAATACACATAGAAAAAAGACCATGTCTACGAATAAACAAGTCTTCTCAGTGCAGCTTAGCCAAATAAGCCTAACTGATCTGTGCCCAAGCCAGTAGTTGTATTTTAGGGGCTTGCTCTCTGATGTCATAGTAGGCTGAAGTAATAGTGAACTGATGTAAGGGTGACTAAACACCTCCTGCCTCAAGTCTTAAAGGGGCCACCTCTCTTTTCCTGTTTCTCTACTAAGCAAGGAAAAGTAGTATATAATGGGAACAAGGAAACAGACTTTGCCTCAGACCTCTCTGCTCTAGGTACAGTGGGACTTCAGTTTTAATTTCCTGTAACTAACACCCAGACTCAGATACCAATCAACCACAGCTCCATTTTTCTCCAACAGTCTCACCCCTCCCCTGTGTTCATTCCCTTACAACTGTGAAGCCCAGGACAGGTGCTAGTGGCTCATGCCTGTAAGTCTAGCTACTCTGGAGGATAAGATCTGAGGATCTTGATTCAAAGCTAGCCTGGGCAGAAATCCCCAGGAGACTCTTTTTTTGTCGGTCGTGGGCCTTGAACTCTGGGCCTGAGTGCTGTCCCTCAGCTCTTCAGCTCAAGGCTAGCGCTCTACCACTTGAGCTACAGTGCCACTTCTGGTTTTCTGGTGGTTTATTGGAGGTTAGAGTTTCATGGACTTTGCTGCCCGGGCTGGCTTTGAACCTCGATCCTCAGATTTCAGCCTCCTGAGTAGCTAGGATTACAGGCGTGAGCCACCGGTGCCCAGCTCCCAGGAGACTCATCTCCAATTAACAACTCAAAAAACAGAAGTGGTGCTGTGGATCAAAGTGGTAGAGCACTAGCCTTGAGCAAAAGAACTCAGGGACAATGCCAGTGCCCAGGCACTCAGTTCAAGCCTACAACTGACAAAAACAACAACAACAACAACAACCCTGCAGCCTGCACAAGACTCAATCACGCTTCTCTTTTTTTCTCTCTAAATCTATCTCACTTTCTCTCTCTCTTTCTCTGTGCCTCTCCACTCACCCCTTGCTTCAGCTGCAGCCCCAACCCTCACTTCAGTTGCACCCTGGTCCTAACATTGGCCCTCAACCTCACTCTTACCTTGACCTTCATCTGGCACTTGCTCAGGCCTCTCTGTGGCCACAGCCTGCTCTTGCTTTCACCCTGGCCCTGGCCAAAGCTCTCTCCATTTCTCTTGACCTGACCATAGCCCTTGCCCTTCCCCTGGCTCTCAACTTGCCCCTCCCCCTTGCTGTGGCCCTGGCCCTCATCCTAGCCTGCTACTCACCCTTGCCCTCTCCTGTCCTACTCTTGTTACTCGCCCCTCACCTCCAGCACCCAGTCCCCTGCCTGGGTCCTTGCTCTTACGGAGCCCATACTCCAGCCCTGGCCCAAGCCCCAATCTCAGTCTGCCCTGGTCTTCACTCTCACCTTGCTCCTTCTCAGGACCCCCAGCCTTGGCTCCAGCCATGATCCCAATCCCAACCCTTTGACCCCAGTCTGGCTGTCCCTGGTCTCTGTCTCTGTCTGTCTTTCTGTTTGTCTTTCTCTCTCACCTCACCCTTACTCTCACCTTTGCCATGGCCCTGGCCCTGATCTTCACACTGGCTCTTTGCCCTCTCACTCTAGCCTTGACCCTTGCCCTTGTCCAGGTCTTGGCCCTAGCCCTATCCCTCTCCTTAGCCCTTTCCCTTGCCCATGCCCCTGCTATAGCCCTGGCTCTGTCCACAGACCTGGCTTGCCTCTAACCCTTGCATTTCTCTTGCCCTGCCCCTGCCCCGACCCTTAGCCCTGGTCCTGGACCTTGGCCTTGCCCTAGCCTTCATCCTCTTTCTGGAACTCACCCTGCCCCTATCCTGGCATTCACACTTGTCCCTGTCCCCTCCCCTGCCCTGGCCTCGGCCCTTGTTCTGACCCTGGCCCCTGCTCCAGCCTTGGCCCTATCTGGGTCCATGCATGGTCCTGGCTCTCTCTCTATCCCTTGCCCTCACCTGGCTCTTACCCTTACCCCTTCCTGTGATCCTCTATAGCCCTGGCTCCTGCCCTGGCTCTCATCTTGCCCATGCCCTGGCCCTAGCCATGACTTTGGTCCTTTCCCTGGCCCCTCACCCTCATCATGGACTTGGGCCTTGCCTTGGCCCTCCCCTTTGCCCTGGTCCTGGCTCTCAACATGGCCACCCCCCCTTGCTAAGATCCTGGCCCTTATCCTGCTCCCTTAACCTCACTCTGGCTTTGGCTCTTGCCCTGGCCCTGACCTTGGCCCCAGCCCTGACTCCCAACCCTGGCCCTTGCTCTTTCCCCTGGCTGACTCTGGGCTCCAGCCTGTGTACTCTGTCTGTCTGTCTGTCTCCCTGACTCACCCTTGCCATGGTCCTGCACTTTGGCCTTGCCCCTTGCCTTTGCCCTGGCCTTGGGCCCTACCCTGGACCACTCCTTCTCCCTGGCTTTGGCTCTGGCCTGGCACAAACCCTTGCTCATGTCTTCAGCTTCTGCTCTAGTCGTGGCCACAACACCAGTCCTCACTCTTCTACTGGCCCTTGACCTTGCCATGGCCCTGGCCCTGGTCCTTGGCCTCTTGCTGGCCCTCATCATCTCCCTGGCTCTTACCTTGACTCTGGCTTTTGCTTGGAACTGGGTGGGGCTCCTTCCTGTCCCTGCACCAGCCCTGGCTCTGGGCTCTACTAGGTCCTGGCCCTAGTCCCGGCCCTTGCCTTGGCCCTGGCTCTCAACCTCTACCAGGCTCTTGCTCTGACCCTTCACCCACACCCTGGACTTGGGCCTTGCCCAAGCTCTTGTGCTGACCCCTTTCCTTGGCATTGGCACATGTCCTGGCCTTTGCTCATTCCCTGGCCCTGGCCTCTCCCTGGCCTTAGCCCCTTGCTCTCTCCCAGGCCCTCATCCTCTTCCAAACCCTCACCCTTACCCTGTACTTGCTTTTTCCCTAGACCTCTCCTTCTGCCTGGTTTTCTCTCTCTGGCCCTGGCTCTTGTAGAGAACTCAGCCTAACCCCAGCCTGCAGCATCCATTCTGGCACTGGCCCTGGCTCAAGCCCTGGGCCTCACTAGTGCCCTGGCCCTTACCCTGGCCCTGGCTCTGGCCCCAGCCAGGCCTCATTCTTGCACTGGTCCTCGCCCTCAACCTGCCCCTAGCCCTCCCTGACCCTGACTCTGGTCCTCCCCTGACCCTGGCCCTGGCTGTTTCAATAGCCATCACCATTGCTCTGGCCCTGGCAATCACCTGGAACTTGCCTGAGCTCCAATCCACAGCCTCCACTCTGGCCCTGACTCTGGCTCTGGCCTTTGCTCTTGCCTTGTCACTGTCCCTCACCCTGGCCCTTAACTTGTCCCAGGATCCTCTCCATTGTCCTTTCTCTCTCTTGCCTTGGGTCTGGCCTTTGCCCTGGTCCTGACTCTGATCTTCAAGCTCACCTTCACTCTCATCCTCCCTCTCTTGACCACAGCCACAATGTGAGAGACATTCTTAGGTTTTCTATAAGACCTCTAACTTCAGCTTCTTTACATTTTCTGGAGCTGAAACCCTGGAGGAACTCACTCAAACTTTTACACTTTTCTCACAGTATATATCAGAGGCCTATCTAAGTAATAGGCTGGGCACCCGTGGTTCATGCCTGTAATTCTAGCTGTAATCCTAGCTACTCAGGAGGCTGAGATCTGAGCATTGCAGCTCAAAGACAGCCTGAGTTGGTTATCCTTGAGACTGCTCTTCAACTAGTCACCCCAAAACCAGAAATGGAGTTGTGACTCAAATGGTAGAGAACTAACCTTGAGCAAATACACACATACAAAACACTATCCAGAGGTATAAAACTACTATTTAGTCTCAAAATGTTCAACTTTACCCTCTTGCTCTTTGTTTTTAGCTGATGACCTCTCTTATTTTACTAAGAAAATAGAAACAATCAGAAAAGAACCATCTCATCTTTTCACCACTAATTTGCCTACCTACTTGCACCAGGGCCTGTAACTCTCTGATATGGATAAAACTTCATTGCTAGTACCAAAGCTCTATTTCCTATCATCATCTGACTTGATCTCCCAATATCAATTAGTACAGTATATCTTTCCCCATTTTTTGAAATATTTTCTTTCATCATTCTAGGAATCTTATTCTTGCATCCCAAAGGTCTTTACACATGTAATTAGTCCTAATATAGCATCATTTTTCTTATCTATTGGTCCACACTGCTAATGTACAGATGTATATTACACAAAGCACTCCTAACAGCATATGTTTCCAGCTACTGCATAATATTCTGCTTTGCTTTGCTGTAAATCATCACAAAAACATATCTACCATTGCTGTCACTGTTGTATTACTTTCATTTTTTTAACCTATATCAAATTTCTTGTAAATGTTTATCTGCCACTTCCAAGTAGCCCCAATCCATTAGTAATTTCTCTATCATCATTCTTGAAATAATTTCTGTCAACTCTCTGCCCATGACACCATACTGGGTTTTTCTCTAATTGCTAAGTCTGATGTATCTTAGTTCCTGTAAATAAACCCTTAGATACACAGAGCACCTGAAGATTTATTTTTACTAACTTCTCTTTTCCTCTGTAACCATGACCTGGCTATAAGTCCAGGAATAATAACTAGCATATTAATTATTTCAGTCTATACCTGTCTCCTGAGATGCAAATTCACATATCCAAATCCTTTCTCAATACTTTCACTGTGTGACAGGCATCTCCAATTAAATCAGTCAAAATCAAAATTTGGATCTCCTCAGGACCACTCCCAGGCTTGCTCCTCCTCCAGGGTTTCTCATCTATCCAGTCGCTCAAGACAAAAGTCTTATAGTCATCTTTTATTCCTATTTCGTTCAATGCCCACTTTTAATATGTGAGAAAATTTTGTCTGTTGTATTTCTAATACAGAGTTTCAAGTCCACCTCCTTCTATTTCCATCGACACCAAGGTAATTTAAGACATTGTTACTTCTTTGACATCTGTTAGATTCCACACTCTTTCCCCTGCTTCCAGTTTGGCTCCCTGTAAAACAATCTGCACATGATTCCAAATCCCTCCCATAGACAAAGTCCTCTCTAGTAAACTTATAGCTAAACTGACAGAAAAATACTACCATTTTCATCAAAGCCAAAATGATACATCCACTACATAGACGTTTGAGCCACATTGATTTTCCTTTCGTTGTTTTTTTTGAGCATACCAAGCCTGTTTTCCCCTTAGAGTTTTGTACTTAGGCCTTCTCTCTGTTCAGACAGTTCTTTCTCTGACCTTTTCCATGTATGAGTTTTGTTCAGCCTTCTATCTCAATACAAGTATCAGTCTTCAATCAATTTTCTCTCTTTCCTATGCATTATCACTCATTCCCAACTCTTCATTATATCACCATTTTATTTACAGAATTTATCATAGTCTGAAGGTGTCTTATTTGTTTTTTGCCTGAATAATCATCTTTTGAGATTGTAAACTCCATAGGGATCATTTAATCCTGGATATCGCATGAAAGATAGGTGAGGAGACAGGGAAAATATACTATTTTTAATAAATATAAAAAGTGCCAGACTCAGAAATTGGAACCAGGAAGAAACAAAGCTGTTAGGTTCCCTTCATTTAAAAGCTAAGTTACAAGATCAGGAAGAACTACCTGGGGTTAGCTACCCAAATCTAGTCTCTCCTAAGCAAGATGATAAGTGTCTCTGAGAAAAAGAAGTCCTCAGTTCACCTTGTGTACCTATGTTTTGGGCAGGCCCAGAGACATCTCCATAACACACATCTTGACAAACCAGAACCATTGCCTAAGGGTTGAGAGTTTCTAGAAGACTTGATCACATTTGTTAGAGCTCAGAAGAAGCACAGGCAGCAAGTAGTTTGTGGTAGGTGCCGTTACAAATATTTTTGTACATTTTTGTGCATGTACAAAAAAAACATTTTTTGTATATTTTTTGTGCCAGTCCTGGGGCTTGAACTCAGGGCCTGGGTGCTGTCCCTGAGGGGTTTTTTGTTGTTGTTCAAAGTTAGCACTCTACCACTTGATCCACAGCTCTACTTCTAGCCTTTTTTGGTAGTTAATAGGATATATAGGCTGGATTTGAGTCATGATCCTCAGAACTCAGTCTCCTGAGTAGCTAAGATCACAGACATGAGCTTCTAGCATCCGGCACCATTTTCAGTCTTTAACTGCCATTTCATGCATGAGGAGAAGAAAATGTTTGTCTCTTTTAATGTTGTTATATTAAAATTAATTCTTCCCACACTCTCCAAATCCTAGACCCTTCTAACTTCAGCCTTGGGTATATTTTCTTGTCTTTCTCTCTTAACACCTTGCTTTGCCACTTTATGTTTATATGTCTTCATTCAAGTCTTTGTTAAATCCAGGAATCTGGGATCTAACTCTTCATACCTGTTATCCTAGCAACTCAAGGAGGCTGATGGTGATTCAAAGCCATCCCAGGCAGCAAAGTGTAGGTATGGTAGATCATCAGCCTTAAGCAGTAAAAGCTAAGGGACAGTGCACCAGGTTGTGAGTTTAAGCCCCACAATTACCTATGCAACCACCTACCAGTAATTGTACCCCAAATTGTATCCCCAATTGTATTTCTAGGCATATAAATAGACATTGAATATGTTTTGTTGAATGAATCAATGGGTAGTGAACATTATTGAATGCTTCTTTTATTTTCAGGCACAAATTGAATAACATTGGATTACCTATTGCTCTTCTTAAAGCTAACTCCTATACATCCCTGAGAAGCATTCCTTAGCATTCTGTAGGTTACAATACATGAGGTCACATAGCATCTTGTCAATATTGCCCTACTACAGAATTGACCACATTG